AGAGCAGCCGGCGCGCCGGTGGTCCGCTGGTCGGCCGCGCAGTGACCCTCCACAGGAATGCACAACATTCCCTACTTCGGAATTTCATTTTAATTTATATTAATTTAATTTAAATATGATGATTTTTCTTGAAGTAAAACAGAGGAGAAGGGCGAAATATGGGTGAGACAGCTAGCCCCTATGTGCCGTCGGTAGCTGACCTCGAGGGGGAGGTGCGTCCTGTGTTGAATACACTCTGCACACGCTACATCTTACAGAGTTTCAAGCAGAAACAATCAGCATTTGATGGTTATTAACCCCTAAAACACTGCTAGCGTTGAGAGATGAAGGCTTGCAGCGCTAGAAGGGTTGCTAGTCTGGACGGTAGTAGAAAACAGCAAAAAAAGAAAGCAAATTCCGCTCTTGCAATAACATTACACTGCTCTAATTACTTTATGCATTGGCTTACACACCGCACGCTACCGACAGCTATTTTATATCTATCCAGCTAGCAGCCCTTTACTATAAACAGCTAGACGCCAACGAGAACCAGGCTAATTGATAAAGCGGGGGAACGGGCTCGCAGCCCCAAACTATGCAAATAAAAATTTTTGTTTGTGTGAGAGAATTGCAGTGAAGCAATGCCCCCAACTGACGCATGCTGCTGAGATAGCTGAGCATTGAGCGGCTCGTGCTGTTACCTCTTCACCAAGCCACATGCGCTGTAGGGACCAGTAGAACTACCACTTAATTAATTTATTTTATTTTTATTTGTGTTTTTTCGAGCTGAATTTACTGGTGTAGCTGGGTGTTCTTGTTTGTCTATATATATGCATCGTTATATGAGGACATACACCCAAAGAAACTTGCTGTTTGTATATGAGCTGCTGAGACAGCTCGCACGTGATCTATCAGCATAGAAAGAGAAACGCATTCATAAAAGCAAAGAGAGAGAAATGCATGCATAAAAAATATATAAGCGATTAAGATATTGTGCATGCATAGAGAGAGGGCTTGCATCTGGCGGTGTTGTTTGTGTGAGAGAAGAAAAAACAGCAAAAGGTAAAGCAAACCAAAACTATCCTCTTCCCCTCTCTACCAGCCTCAATATCATGTGG